AGTTGGCATCTCGTAACAATCGATGTTTATGGCTCAATTGTTTTATTACTTATCGCCTGAGCATTTGCTAATTTATTACCCAATATGATATATATATATAGATATATATATATATATGTAAAAACGGAAATACAAGCAATCAATACTGAAGATATACATATACAATTATTAACAAAAAAATCTCAAGTGATCCGCTCAAAGTGATAACTGTACACATGCAAATCTTGTTTTTTTTCCTCCCAATATACAGTATATTATTGTATTATTGTATATTGCATATTTCCAGTTCAGTTTGCATTTTAACTATTCTACATATGTCTGTCTCTCTCTCTCTCTCTATCCTTTTCTCGCTTATTGAATGGATTCAACGAATTGATAACTCAAACTGAACAGCAGGTTTCAAGACTCCCTTTTCCTATTTCCCTTTTCACTGGCACGTTAACAGGTAGCTCGTTGCTCGTCCACATTCCAGAGCCTAGAACGGCGGCACCTGTGACGCGTAGGTGAGGCCAATAAAGAGACCGACAATGCGTGAGAGAGAGAGGGAGAGAGAGAAAGAACTAAGCGATTGCTTACGCAACGCAAGGCAGAGTTAACCAGTTTCTCAGTCGCGCCGTTTATCTCAAGGGTCTCCGCGCTGTTGCGCACTGTCGGCGCATTTAATTTGAGTCGTTGAATGAGACGCCCTGTCGAGCCCCTGGCCGAGACCCCTCGACCCCCGTAGGCCACAACGGAGTGTTGGGAGGGGGGGCCCAACATCTCGACATGGTTTGCTGGCCGTTGTCCGCTCTGACTCATCGCCTTGCCTTCAAGATAAACAGGCAAACACAAGTCGAGAAGTATGTAATACACACACACACACACACACACACAAACATGCATAGAAGGCGAGCTCGAAAAGTTTTAACTGTTGACATTAACCCTTATAGCTGCTGCTAAATTTTACTATATGTGCAAATACAAATAACTGTTTGCGATAGAAATGTTTAAAGTGATAAGGAACAAAACAATTTTGTATGTTATGCCTAAATATTTCTTTGTGTACTGTATAGTTTGGTAAATTTCGTGTAAGCAATTCAATGATAAACCAAATATTTGTCTACTGCGGTCGGTCGCATCAACTGGGTGCGTCAGCTTAAGGGTTAAGTGCGGAGAGCTAGAATCTGAACATTTTGACACACTAAGTGTAGAGTGCAATGTCACTCACATGATCGCCGCCTATGTCTGGCTGTGTGAGTGTGACAGAGAAAGGGTTAACTAAGATAATAGGCGCGTGCGTGCATGTGTGCATGGGAGAGCGAGAGAAGAGAAGAGAGCGCAGAGAAGAGAGCGAGAGCGGCTATTTGACAGTTGACTCGCATCAATTAAAAGCGCCTAACAGATAAATTGAAATGAAATGAAAACTGTTTTTTATTTTTTTTTTTTGACGCAGCAATATAATAAAAACAAACAGTGCGATAAACGCGTGTGGTAGATAAAGAGAGAGAGAGAGAGAAAGAGCGAATGAGAAATGCAGCAACAAGTGGAAATGAAAAGCAGCAAACGAAACAACAGCGAATTAAGCGACAATAACAACAAACACAACATTTCCAATCAGAATGAAGCAACGCAGCTGCAGCAGCAGCAGCAGCGCAACAAGCGCTGTCGTCAGCAGCAGCAGCATCACATCTATGAAAATTTACCAACAACAACGCAGCAGCAGCAGCAGCTGCGCAAATATTTTCGGCGCGAGGCGATCTATGAGAATCTGTGCCGTGGCTGCGGCTATGGCGTTTTTGCTGCCCAAGGTCATTACTGTCACTTCTGTCAGTGCATTGTCAGCGGCAGCGTTGTTGCAGCGCTGCAGCAGCAGCAGGAGCAGCCGCAGCAGCCGTTGAGGAGCAGCAGCGATTGCAATATTTATGAAAACATTTGCGAACGCTGTCGCAGCATCTACAGCGATAGCGAGCAGTGTGAATGCGCCACAGGTGGCACGCTGCCCACAATTTTTAACGAGTCACCAATGCAGTCGCAGTTGCAGTCGCCGTTGCAGTCAGCTGCTGCTGCTGGTGGTGCTGATGCTGCTGGTGCTGGTACTGCTGTCAAAGCCGGCAGCAAATCGCGCACGCTGCTGGGCTATTCAAAGTCGAGTGCAGCGACGCTGACGCGTCTGTTTGGCTCGCTGAAGCAACTGAATCGCTCCGGTTCGCTGCAGCGTCGACTTTTTTCGCGAGACACAAAAAACAATGGCAGCGGCGGCGGCGGTGGCGGTTCGCTTGAAATAATTCACAATGTGGATGAAGTTTTTCGCACGCAGGCAACATTTGATATGCAAAGCATCTGTGAACTGAAACGTCAGCGTCAGCAGCAGCAGCAGCAGCAGCAACTGCACAGCAGTCGCAGCGATCAGCATATTTATGGCCGACTGCGCAGCGACCGAGCGGGGGTGGGGGAGACAACTCAAGCAGTTAAAGCAGAAGAAGAAGAGGAGGAGGATGAGGAACAGCAAGAGCAAGAGGAAGAAGAGGAACAGCAGCAATTGTTGAAGAAAAAGTCGCGAATTTCGCGAATACGCCTACTGCAGCCAAAGCCAAGCAGCGCAGCAGCAACATCAGCAACAGCAGCAGCGACGTCACCGCCGGCAGCACTCTACTTAAATGAAAGCATTTGTCAATGGATGAATGCGCTGCGACGCGAGCTGCACAGCTATGAGGATGCCAATGGCGGCTTTGGGTGCCAGCAGCCCAAAAGTGTGCCGCCCGCCTATGAGCGAGAGAAAGAGCGCGAAAGAGAGAGGGAGAGGGAAGCAGAGCAAGTAACTCTGCGACGGAGCGAACCAGCAGCAGCACCAGCAGCAGCAGTACCAGCAGTAGCAGCGACGGCAGCAGAACAACCCCAGCAACAGCAACAGCAGCAGCAGCAAATTTTGATTGACAATTTCAAGCGCAAGTTGCTGGTGCAACGCGAGCTGCAGCAGCAACAACAAATAGTCCAATTGGAGGCGAATGCGCTGCTGTTGAGCGATCGGCAGCAGCGTCGCTGCGGCATCAATGAACGTGACGACGCCGCCTTTGTCAACGAATTTCTCAGCGGCTTGGCGCTGAGCAAACACGCTCAAGCGACAACAACAACAGCAACAACAAGAACAACAATTGAAGCAACAACAACACAAGCAGCGCTGCTGGCGTCACGCCTGTCAGTGCGTCAACTGTGGCAGAGCGCTGCGCTGGCAGCAAGTTTACATGGCAGCGTTATTTGCTTCTTTGGCAACTATGACAAATTGCTAAGCGCCTTTTTGCATGGACGGCGACAGCGACAGCGACTGCGACTGCGCAGCGACAACAACAAGAAGAGCAACAGCAACAGCAATAGCAACAGCACCAGCAGCAGCAGCAGCAGTGAGTCAGCGTCGCGTCGACGCCTATTGGATCAGTCGCAATTGGAGCTGGCAGTTGTGCGAGCGACGCCAGCGAGTGACGACGTTGCGGTCGCGTGGCGAGTCGGCAGCCTAAGCGATACAATTGAACCTCACAGCGAGATCGAGAGCGAGAGCGCGAAAGAGAGCGAGTGCGAGTGCGAGAGCGAGAGCGAGAGCGAGACACGATCGGAAAGTAACTGTTTTAACAGCAGCAGCAGCAGCAGCAGCAGCGGCGGCGACGGCGTCGCTGTCAGCAGCGCCGCGCTGATGGCGGGACCCAAGCAATGCGGCGACGCTGAGCAGCGCGCCAGCAGCGATGACAGTGAAAACAATAGCAATAATAACAACAACAACAACAATAATAATAACAACAACGACAATGTCAACCAGCAGCAAGAGCAACAACAACAACAACAGCAACAACAACAACAACAACAAACGACACAGGTCAATAGCCAATTGCAAGCAAAACACAATTTACAACAATTTACAAATTACAAATTACAAATTATAAAATCAACATAACAATTTGGGCTCACTGCCAGCCAGCCAGCCAGCCAGCCACTGGCTGTAATTGAGGCGTAAATGAATACAACAAATTAAATACAGCAAATGTGTGAGCGAGTGCGAGTGCGAGTGAGAGCGCGAGATAAAGCTCGTAGAAGAGAGCGAGTGAAAGAGAGAGAGAGAGTGGGAGGGGGGGCAGGGGGCGAGAGAGTGAGCTGCAAAGTGAACCAAATTGGAAAACAAAACAAAAAGCGTAAAAGCCAAAACAAAGCATGTACTATTTTTATTTATTTTTTTTCTTTTTTGCTGTGGGAAAAATAACATTTGAAAATAAAGTAATACGCGATACCCGTTCAACAATTGTTAGCTTTGTTTGTTTTTTTTTGTTTTTATTGTTTTTAAGTGCAGGCAAATGGAAAGCGGCAGTGGGAGAAAAGAAGCCCAGTTTCAAGATGCATTTTAGTAATATTTTCATACACAGTTGCCATTTGTTGCTGTGTGTTGTGCCTCAACTTGTGGAAAATTGAATTTATTTTGTATTTTTCATCTTTTTTTTTGTTTGTTTTAAATTCTATGATCCTATTAGAGCATTAAGTGCAATTCAATTAGAGAATTAAAATCATTCAGGTTTATTGAAATTGAACGTGTGCAGATTGGAATTATATGCATCGAACGAGTAATAATAAATACATATATATAAATATATAATGTATATATAATGGCAAACGAGTGGCACAAATAACTCGTTAAGGGATGCAACGAGTATAAGCATATAGGCAAACAAATGACGAGTACTTTCAAGCAAGTAACGAGTAGTTAGTTGAAGACGCAGCCAGATGCGATCTCTTAGCGAATGCACTTGTTTTTTCTATTTTATTTTACTTGATTTTTTTGAACGAATATCGAGAATTGAGTGGAGGCGAGTCGAGCATAGTTTTATTCAGCATGTTGCATGATTATTGTTTTTTTTTGGGAGTAGCTGTGAATGCATGTGGAAGCAGTGAGCCCAAATTTAGTTCCAAATAGATCTAATGAGATCTATGCAGATCGGTTTGGTGACAACAATGTTTGCTCTCTCTTTTCATTGAATTTGTAGAGCTGTGTGATTAAAGTACGTCGACCGGCGCCTCAAGTGCCGCTGCGTAATCCAACCACATCTCTGACTAAGCCTACAAACAACAATAACAACAACGATGACATGGGCGATGTGAAAGGGGATAAACACAAGGAGAAGATGGCGCTGCTGGCAGAGGAGGAGGAGGAGGAGGAGCAACAGGAGCAACAGGAGGAGGAGGAGGAGGAGGAGGAATCCATTTATCAAACCATTTGGCAGTTTAAAACTGTGGAGCCAGTGCCCGACAATAATAACGAAGAAGACTTTGATATCATCACAGCGAACGAAGCGGGCAGCGATGATGACGCAGATGCAGACGCAGACGCAGACGCAGACGCATACGCAGACGTTGACATCGACATCGATGTTGACGATGTTGACGATGTTGACGATGTCGACGATGTTGACGATGTTGACGATGCTGAGGCAGAGGCGGAGGCAGAAGCGTTAACATTGCAGGCGGCCGCAGCATTCGCAGCTGGCGCACGTCACAAGCTGCTGACTAAGCTGACGTCGACGGCGACGGCGACGCCAACAGCAACGCCGCTGCCATCGCCGACAGCATCAATGGATCAGGGTGCCTGGGAGACGGACGATGAGTTCATGTTTCATGCCAAAATTGCCGACGAGCAGCAGACGACGCTTAGCGTCGGCAGCACGGTGACCAACAGCACAGCGACGCTCGGCTCGATTAGCAGCAGCGCCGGCAGCAGCAGCATCGACAGCAGCGAGCCAACGTCGACGGCATCGCTGCTGCTGACGCATCCTCTGCTGCGCAACATTTGCATTCTTTACAGCCTGAAGGAGCCACAGAAATACAGCGCCATCTTCTATGACTATCAGCGTGCCCAGTTCCATCAGCGTTTTATGACGCGCATACGACGACCAGCGCCACCGCCACCGCCACCGCCGCAGCCGCAGGCGACGTCAACGTTAGCAGCGACTGCAAGCAGAATAACAGTTATGTCGCCCAGCAACGATGACAGCGGCTGCAGCTGCGAAGCGGACAGCGAGGATGCAATGCCCGATTCGACGCTGCACATTCCACAGCCGCTGAAGGAGGATTGGGCGCTGGCTGTGCTCGCTGCCGCTGCGAGCAGCAAGCGTGGCGTCGCTGCCCGAGCCGGCCGCAAGCTGCGCGTCCGTTCCAGCGGCCGTCTGCTAATGCCCAATTCGGTGCTGGCATGGCGTGAACAGCTCCAAGGTGTCAACTATTGTGAGGATGAGGAAGATATGGTAAGTTAATGGTGGGCCACCAATCCCCTCGCGTCACGTCCCTCCCCCACCCCATTCATGCCACCCTCAATCCGGCCCCATGGGAAATGAGAGATTTGATTGTTTGGTTTGCTGATCCATTAATTAAACGCTGCTTGCAACGCTTGATTCAATTATTTGTTTGCTTTGACTGTGACTGTGACTGTGACTGTGACTAACCTCCGCTTGCATTTGTTGCTGCCGCACCTAGTGGCGGAGTGCCACAGCCGCAGCCACAGCCACAGCCACAGCCAGAAGCTCCAGCCTTTTTTTTTTTTGACTTTTGCGTACAATTTTATACAGTTGCAGCAGTTGCAGCAGTTGCAGCAGCAGCAGCAGCAACGACGTCGTCAGCTGTCAAATGCTCTTTTCAAAAGTATCTCAACATTTTTACACAATTTTAAAGGGGATTCAAAAATAAAATAAATATAATTTGAGATGCAAAATATAATATGTAAGATAGTTGATCTACGTGCAACATTTGTTGCAAGCAGTCCATCAAATTGGAATTAGAATCCGTTTTATTCAGATTATATAGATTATATATTGTATTTCCACGTTAGTTGCCTCTTATTATATGGAATTTATATATTTATTCACTTCATTTAAATATATAAATATTTATATGATTAAAAGAGTTTTTAAGCGTTTCTTGAAGCCTTTGCTAAACTACTACTTAAGTGCAGCTTTTACTAGTAATTATTTGTTGGCATTTAAATACTTTTATTAAGTTATTTTCTTGAAAATCTTGTGCTGTTAGAGCATTCAGATAGTCGCCTTGAGAGTTTTATGCTTCTTTTTTTTTTGTTTTTTATTTTTTTTGGGGTATGCGTAATTTTATTGCGCTTTGTTTAACACATTTTGTTCTTGTTGTTGTTGTTGCTGTTTTTGTTGTTTGTTTTTTTTTTTCATTCAGCTCTTCCACTTTTTTCTTGACTTTTGCATAATATATTTATTTATTTGCCTCTCACGTTTTTCATTTTATTTTATTTGCTTTTGTTGTTGTTGCTGTTGTTGTTGTTGTTGTTGTTTGTGTGTGCGAATTTATTATTCCCTTTGCATTTGCTGCATTTTTGCCGCTGCATGTGAAATTCTATGGAATTTTTGTGCAGACTCGGAAACCAAGAAAGTTGATTCACATATTACGACGCGCCCCCTCCGACTCTGACTCCGACTGCGCCCCCTGCCCCGCCACTCCGCTCGTCATCATAAACGGACAATTATTATTTTTGCATAAACAAGTCGCGACTGATTTTTGTATTCCCCTCGATTTTGCTATCATTTTTTTGTGGAAACCGGTTTCGGAATTCTGATTTCTGATTTCTGAATTCTGAATTTGTGTGCTGTTGTTAATTTCCTGCCCCGCATCGTCATCATCGTCGCATTTATCAGCTTTTAATTGGTTAATCATTAGTCAAATATTTTTGTAAAATCGACCACTTCGAGTTCGAATTTCGAATTTCGAATTCGAACTTGGGAGTTGGAGTCTGGAGTTCTGCTTAACTCTTACATAACTATTTACATGTCTCTTGAAACTAATCGACTTTTGAGCCTCTTTTCCCTAGCCAACATTTTCTGTTTTGTCTGCCCCTCTCTCTCTCTCTCTCTTTCTCTCTCTCTGTGTGGGAGTGTTTACTTTAACATTTTTTATCGCTCAGTTTCTCGTAAAAAAAAAGAAGAAGAAGAAGAAAAAAAACGGTGCTTGGGTTCCATAAACAAGGGGCCGGATATATAAACAACGAGCAACGCTTAAAAATTGCTTCGAAA